GCAGCATTGTTGCTTTATCATAAAATATGAGCTATTATTTTCAGCAAAAATATGTGTATATATAATAAATTTTTGAGTTTTCCGAGCTTTTGAAAAAAAGTGAAGTTGTGAAAAACTGCGTCTTAACTGGATTTCGAAAGACTTGAATATTTGCTATGAGTAAAAATATATAATTTTTTCACGAGCTTTTAAGCCTTCATCTGCTGCAAGTATTTTTATGTCGTCGTAATCTCAGATGCCAGCTTTTCATATTTTATTGAAAGCTCAAAACTCGAAAGGTTTTGATATTTGTATATTTTAAGGGACACATGCATCAATTAAAGCTTCGAATTTTTTAAGATAAAAATTTAAAAAGCTTTCTACATTTTTAAAACCAACAWTTTTAAACTGATAATCACAATTAATTTACTAATTATGAAGACGAAAGACGTTTTTTAATGAAAGCTCAGATACAAAGCTTTCTGTGTTTCGAAAACTAAAACTATTTACGAATTACAAAGATATTTTTAAAGAAAGCTTTAGTTTAAAATTGTGTGAAGCTGAAGATACTGCAGTGTAAGCTTTTTCACTTTAGCTTCGAGCTTTTATCAACTTCATCTGCATTTATGCCTCAAATTTATGTCGGCTTAAACAAACTTGCATTAAAATTTGTAAACATCCATGAAAACTCACATAAACTCACACAGCCATTATTTGTTTTAGTACTTATGCTACAATTTGTATGCTTTTAAAAGTTGTCACTTAGTTGATAACTCTTCTAAGTCTTAACTGGAAGTATTATCTCTATGCCAAGCCATATATTTACATACATAGAGCTATTTGAATTGGTCTCCAATCTTTCTATGAATCACATATGCAAAATTGTGAGAAATTTTTATATTTAAAAAAATACAGGTATTTTATAAAAGAAGAAATAATGTGTGTAAGCTTTCACTGAAAGTTCTCTAGCGCTTTTGTAAGCGCTTACACCTATGCTGTGCTATTAATTGTAAGTTGTCATTGCTTAAGTCTTTTGTTTGCGCGCTTGTTTTCCGCCACTGTGATTCTTCTCTGTAACATATGCACTTACTGCGTGATTTTGTTTTTTCTTTCGCGATTTTCTATATAAATTTCGTAATTGGTAAGCTAAATTAATGCAAAAAATACACACAACACTTACAAATAAAAAAAAAAAAAAAA